CATATTTAGCCGAAACATTCAAGGGAAATGATTATTTTTCAGGAGAGGAATAATCTCCAATGAGAAGAAATGTCTGACACATATGCAGGTTGGCTTCCCCTTGTGTGACCACAAACTTCATGAGTTGCCAAGCTAACTTTTTTTGGTGGGTGTCAAAGTAAATTTCAAATTCTGGCTTTATTTAAACAGCTGGTTAGCAAATCTCAAGACACTTCTCAGTGGGAACCACCCACGTGACTGACACACACAGGTGTGTGACAAGTGATTTTTAAGCGAGACTGGAGAGTTAGAGGTGCAGACGGACGGGCTAGGTAAGGAAGTCTTTCCTGCGCGTAAAGTCAGATGGTACCAGAATCTAAGAAAACAGTGTCTATACACTCTTAACATGTGATTATTTTCCCCTAGACATTTTCAAAGTGGTGCTGGTGATGGGAGGGGAGCACAGAGTCCCCAAGGGGGCATCAGCCCAGCTGAGAAGACGCAGTGGGGTTTGCAAACCAGCCCCATGCAGAAAAAGACCTTGTTCTCCCAAGAGCCCAAAGGGGCCTGCAGTCAACAGCCCAGTCTTGGAGTGGAGGCCAGAAAGGGGCGCGGAGTGCAGAACATCTGGAGGTTTAGGCTGCAGGCCTGGGCCACGCTGCCTGAGTCAGAGGACACAGGGTGTGTGCTGGACGGGGCGGGAGAGCTGCTGGAAGAGAAGGTGCGGGGTGGCTCTGAATTCACAAACTCTTTCCTTCTCCACTTGAACTCTTTAGGATGATATAAAAAAGCTGAGCGGTGATGAACTTCACTGAGCAAGAGGATGGAGACCTGGGGGCCGGGGGAGGCTGCTGTACGCGGAGCAGAGAGGCTGTGGACCAGGGGAGGGTCAAGATGCTTCCTAGACTCGAGGAACTGGCCTGCGCCCAGTTGGTGGGGGCCTCTGGTGGATTTCAGTTCCTGGCCAGAAATCCCTGCTTTCAACCTCAGAAGACACAAGGGGGGCTCAGCAAACCTGGCGGTTGCTCTCCGGCTTTGGCAAACTCGAGACTTTTCCAACGCCTTGTGTTCAGCGAAACCAAAAATGTGTTTGGCTAGAAACCCTTGTCTAATTTTTAAACCCCTGTGCATTTTTTACGTAAATTTGATCCACATGGTTCTGATTTATTTTTATTTAACTCATCCAATCGAATTAGGAGCTATAATGATGAATGGGAACAATGCTGATTTCCAAGAAGATTTTTGAGCCTTTTTTCTTAGAACTAAATCACATTCCAGGCCCCCTCCACCCCGACCATTCAAACTACCAGACGGATCTGGGTTTGAAATTTAGAACCCAAATGTGAAATAAAGACGCATGCTTGGCAAAGACGAAGCACAGCAGGGGATGTTCTCAGGAAGTCACGGTTAGAAAGCCGGGGCAGGCTTGGTGGGGGTAGGGGAACGAAGTCAGGAAGGGGGTCAGTTATTCTGCATTAGATGGTTTACGTAAGTTTACCTTGCATTGTGGGTTCTCAACAGAAGCCCCCTAGCTGTTTCTCTAGGGTCTGATTTGACCACGACCACCCAGGAGAAGGGAGTTTCTGCCCCAAGACTGGCGAAGAGGGGTCCCCTGTATCCATCCTGTTTCTTCTGCCCTCCTCCACTGTAGCTGATCCAAGCTGCTCCCCCTCTTCCCTCTAACCTTCCTCCCCCCTCTCCTGGCTCCAACTAAGTCCTCTCCAGCTGGAAGCATTTAAAATGTACAACAATTTTAATCTCATGCAAAGGAATCTTGAGATCTACACTACACGCCCATTAAGCTAAATTATAAGTGCGCAACATCTTTTTGCACAATTCTGTCTGGCTTAGGTTGGCAAACGCTAAAGGCCATTACTGTCTTTCCCAATTACTTTTTCTACTACACCATCATTTCCTACAACTTCAGTCTGAGCCTGGCCACATTTCTCTGAGAAACTCTGGTCACTAAGGTCCCAAGACAAAGGTACTCTCTTCAGGGCCCCTTGAACCTGTGCTCAGTGGGTCCCTCAGACACTGTCCAAAGAAATTTCCTTGAACTCAGCTTCTGTACCCTAAGGAGCCAGACCAAACTGGACAAGTTTGAGTACAAGAATCATCTTGCTAGTTAATAACTGTACAATCATGGGGGAGTTATTTCATTTCCTCGGGCCTCAGTTTCCCAATCTATGAAATGGGTATAATAATCATACATATTTCACAGAGCTGTTGTGAGAGTTAAATGAGATGCTGTGCATATATATATATATATATATATATATAAAGTATGTTGTCTGGCCTGGCCTAAGTAGTTAATAAATGTTATTTGTTATTGTTATTATAAAAACTCCATACTTCATTCAACTCTACAACTTTCCTAAGAGCACTTAAATTTTTCTAGAGGTTGCCAGTTTCCTTCTCAATCCAACCCCATCATCCCTCACCAACACGGAAACGACCAACCCATTTCCCTGCAAATTAGCATCACTCTGGACAGGTGCAATGAAATTTCTGATCAGCCAAATGGGATTTTTGATCAGTCCTTGGGGAGTCTGCCATACAGGCCCAAGTTTTAAACCTACACAGTCTCTTCTTGGGATCCACAGAAGCTCAGTGATTGGAAGATCTATAACCTGTCTGCATAGATATCATTCTCCTGAAAGGCCAAACTCCTCACTTTATACATAGAGAGAGAGAGAGTGTGTGTGTTGGAGGTGAGGAGGGTACAGGGTGAGAAGGTTTTCACTCTACTTTAAGGAGCAAAATGCCTAATTGATTTCCTGAGACATCTCCCCCCACCCCCCACGGAAGTCACACTTCATCTGTCCGTTTTGGAAAGTAGAAAGGTGACAGTACTATTTAATATGCCTGATAAATGCCTCTTTCCCAAGGTGGGGAATACAGACATGCATGAGTCTAGTTGGTTTTCTCTGGCCAGGAGGGGTTTCAGCCATTATTCAGGGATCCTTTCGTTGGCCAGAATAGAGGGAACAGGGATCTACCAGCTTCTAGGGAACCTCGCACACTTTATGTCATCATGGTTGTCAGCACGCACAACTGCTGTGAGAGAGACTTCCGCAGGCTCTTGCAAACAGTGATTACTATCCCCACCAAGCCGGCCTCACTCGGAATCCTGGGTGATACCAGGAAGTGTGCTGTCTTCTCGACTAGGCGCTCCCTCTCAGCAGCTTCTTAACCTCTTGTGGCTGCAGGATGCCTGTTGGACGCCGGCCACAGGAATAAAGGACCCTGAAGGAACCAGCCCTGTTCCAAGCCCTGCCAAGGGGGTGCGCCTGGGTGTCTGCTGGGTGGTTCTGGAGCGGACGTGCAATCTGAAGGGGCAGTCTACAGGCTGGGAAGTCACTGGTGACCTAGCAGAAAGGGGGAGTTGGTCCAAGGAGAGTCCTCTCTGGTAATGTGCAATTGGGAGAGTGAGAAACTGGGGTGTCTGGTAGCAGAGACATATGGAAGGTGGCGGGTCACCTCAGTGGCAGAATGACTTCATGCAGGTGGACAGACTCCCACTGCTGGGGTTCTTAAGGCTGCCTTGATTCCAGAACCACCTTCCTTCCCATAAAGCCTGGCTGTCCAAGGGTTCTTCTTGTGGACACCATAAGCATCTCTTCTGATATTATTAAAATAAACACCTCCTTTTTTGGAGTCAGCCTGAGTGGGTTTCTGTCTCCTCCAACAGAAAGAACCTTCACTAAGAACACAGCACCTACCCTTGGGGCTCTGTCTAAACATCCTGGGCATTTCCGGTGCAAGGCACTGCTTTAACCATTAATTACACAGTATACAAACACTGCTGGTTCTCAACTCACCGACCTCCCTGGCTCTCCTCTGCTGTAGAAACTGGAAACATTTCTCTCTCCTCAAGCCTGCTTTGCAGCTCGGGGAGGTCGCATGACACGGTTCTGGCCAACGAGATGCAAGTGAGCATGTGCGGGGACAGACAGGCTGCCCTTCCTTCCTGCCTGGCAAGAAACTGTTATGCTTGGAGCTGCTGCCTCCATCTTACAACCACGAAGGACAAAAAGCAGAGGTGCCAGCCCTGGCATGTTGGAGGGGCCACACCACCATAAACAGCCACCAAATTCCAGCCTCCTTGTTCTGTGAGAAAACTATACCCTTAAACGACTACTATTTAGAGTTTTCTATAATTCAGAAGCAAAATCTTTTTTAAATAATATAACCTAAAACAGAACTTGTTTTCTGTATTATAAGAAGAAAAAATTTTAACCAAATACATGACACCTTGTTTTTCAACAAACTCCTCCAAACATCAACTGAATGATAAAAGCTTTCCAGGCAATTAAAATCCAAGAGGGGAGAAAGCCCACATGTGAGCTGCTATGCCGTCGGGCAGAAAGTGGAAACAGTGCAGAGGCAGCTGCTCTGTGTGCATCTGGAGCAGGGGAGACATGACTGTGGTTGGGGAAGGGGAAGCAGGAGAAGCATTTGAATTAAGCCCTAGAAAAAGAAAAAGAATTTGGATGTTTGGAGATGGGAAGGGAGGGTATTCTAGGCAAAAAGAATAGTCTGAGCAGATACAGGAAACTGAAGGTCATATACAAGGAGTAACAAGTTCATTCTGGCTGGTGCACAGGGACAAAGATCAGATTTTTTTTTTAAGTTAGACCAAATTATAAGTTCTGAATGCTCCATGAAGGAGTCTGGGCTTTATTCTCTGAGCTCTGGAGTGTGACTGAAGCTTTCTGAGCAAACAGGTGTCAGAGTAGTTGTTTAGGAAAATTGGCCCGATGGTAGTATGTGGGCTGGATTGAGGAGGCAAGAGATGCCACTAGGGGGCTATGCAGCCATCTGGGCAGGAGGCGAGGAGGGTGGGAAGCAGGACACTCAATGAGAGAATGGAGTGGGGAAAAGCAGCAGCCATGGGACATACCGCAGAAATACATGTGACCCCAGCTGGCTACCGTCTGGAAATGGGATGCGAGTCATGGGAGGAATAATGTAGAAAACATTTTACTGTACACAGTAGAAACCAAAACCTCATGTGGTACCTCTGGAGCTGAAGACAGGAATGGTTTTATGTAGATGTTGGAGTCATGCACCTTCAGATCATGGTCCCCAAGTCCCCTGGTCACTCCAATAGTTGCCATTACTCGGGCCTAGGAGTATAAGCAGAGGGTCATCAGAAACACTCACACATACAGAGAAACATGTACAGCACACATATATAAATCTGTACACCGCCACCATACAGCTGCCAGGGCAGACAGAAGCGATCATCTTCCGCTCCCTCCTGCCCCTCTCTGGGCCCCAGGCTGCTAACTTCTGTGGGTAGCTGTTCCCAAGGAAGGGCCCACCAAGGTCACTTATGTACTTGACAACTGGCTTCTCTAGCAATTATCTTGAGTTTAATGGGTTGCTGCCATCTCTTTTCAGATGTCTTTTGTAGAGACTGGAGACAATGGTGTCCAATAAACTAAATACAATACACCCGTGATGTCTGCAGCTACTGAAATCAGTTCACACCAAATCCAACAGGATCCATCCTCCATCCATCCAACCACCCATCAACCATCCCACACATCCATCCATCCGACCACCCATCATCCACCCCATCCATCCATCTAACCACCCATTATCCAGCCCACCCACCCATCCATCCATCCCAACCATCTAGTCCCCCATCTTCTATACACTCATTCTTTTTTAATACACTCATTCTTCAAATATTTACTGAACACCAGCTATGTCCCTAGTTCTGTGATAAAAGATGTAAGAATGTCAGAGGCAGCCCCTGCCCTCCCACAGCTCCTGTGCTACAGTTTATGGCTGAAGAAAATTAACGGTCAGTGACTCTGTAACCTGTCCTGTTAACATCCGCACGAACGCCCTCTGGGTGGAAAGGAACAAAACATTCTGTTGCATGTACACAGGGACCTCACGGCTGAGGCCACATCACCTGCAGCTTTCTCTAAACACTTCCCAGATGCTCGAAGGAAGCAACACTGCTATAACTAACGCCCACACCATCAGCCGACTTACCACCTGGGATGCCACAGAACTGCTTCACCCAAACGTTAACTGAGTACCTACTATGTGCAGACACCACGCTGTGGGGGACAAATATCTAAGGCCGTGTCCCTACTATAAAGGAACTTGGTAAGGGAGATTAAGAGGTATATGTCTAATTAACCATACACAGAATATGGCCAAGTGCTGAAAGACACGTAAACAATGGGTTACGTGAGGTCAGAGGAGGTAAAAATTCTGCTAAGAGGATTTCCTGAAGGAAGTGGCACTAAATTTTTGTGCAGAAGGATGGGCAGCATCCGGACAGGTAAATGCAGGATAGATGGAAAGTCATTCTGGGTAGAATGAAGCCCACTGACTGAACACTTGGATCATAAACACCAAAGCTGGTGTAGGATCGTGGTTCAAAGACATGAACTTGAATCCTCACTCTAATGCGGGGGTACCAAGGGTAACTCATAAGTGCTAAGAAACAGTACAATCTAACGCATTATCACTATCTTCATCCTACTTTCCCCAAAAGCCTGTGGATTTTGCAGCTCGTTTCACATCGGAAGGTGGGAAGGTTTACATTCAAGTGGAAAGGAAACCAGAACACATTTTTGAAAGGCGAGAATAAAAAGCGGTGAAATGTAGACACAAGATGTGAAACCTGGGGACCGCTGGTCAGGCCAGCGGCAGAAACCCTCTGCCCTGCTGGGAGGCTGGCCCGGCTGCCTGCTAGCTGAGAAGCGCTCAACTCGGAACGTGAACGTTCCCTTGCATCCTTCCTGCTCCCCTCCCTGCTGGGGCGCCTTCTCCGGCTGGAAAAAGCACGGGGGGCATTGTAGTCCCAAGAAATCTGACGTTTCTGCTAGTTACTGCACTTGTTGACAAAGCCCAGAGGTGCTGCCCGCACAAGTCCTTCAAAGCACTGGCAGAACTCAAATGAAAACTAACAGCTGTGGAAGTGTTCTGAAACTTCTGGGGAGGTGTGTGCAGAGAAGGAGGAGGAAAGCCCTGCAAAGGATCTGGACAGGGCTGATGTGTGGCAGTTGTAAAGTAATCTCAAGAGATCACGGAGTCCTGGGACAGAGGTGGTGTGCCATTTTGGCATAGGGCACATCTGGAGTCGCACTGGCTTTTAAATAGGTCAACAGGTACAGCGACAGAATTCGCCAGAAATGTCAAGCCCCAGTTAACTGAAATGCTGGAGGAACATGATGTCCTGGGGAACTGAACTTTTTGCTGAACTGGGAACACTCACGCTCCTTTAAATCTCACTGCTGAGAATCCTCGAAGAACACATTTATCCACTTTTCCGCTGAACCGAGGAGAGTGTAATGAACATAACTGAATAGCTTATTAAATATTTATGCATTTACTGACGGCCTGCCATGCATCAAGCACCAGGCTAGACAGGTACGAGGGGTACAAGGGCAACAGGATGTGGTCCTGAGCTGACTGGAACGCACTCAGTAGCAGCAGGGCAATACTGAGAATCTCGGCACCACAAAGAACGGCAGCTGCGGACCTAGATCGCTGGGCTGAAGGTGCGCCCTGGGCTGAGGAACACACGTAATCCCACCAGGAACAGAGCCTTTCCCTGTCGTGACTCAGCCAAGGATGGAGAGCTCAAAGGCGTCCATCTCCAGCACAGGGGCAAGTTAGTTTGAAAAGTGACGCCTATATTGGTCAAACATTCATGTTTTAGTTCCCTCTGTGAAGTGTCTCTTTGTGGTGAAATCACTATTGGGTTGCACTGAGCCCAGAACCTAATGCTGTGTGCTCTCTCTCTCTCTCTCACACACACACACACACACACGCGCGCGCACACACATGCACACGTACATGCCCCCCCTACACACTCAAGATCTGCCCATGAAGGCATCCTTCAGTTTTCTTATGAGTCACTTCTTTCTGATAAAAGCTATCAAATACTGAAAGAATTTCAGTTTTAGATTCTTAACATGGCCACATTTTTCACTTCTAACTGGAACTCTCATCACCTAGATGAAATGTGTTTGTGTTTGGAGGAAGAATGCAATGATTCAGAAGGTATCTGTTCTCCCTGGGAAATGGCTTCTAAGCTTCCTTGTCTCGGCTGTGGGACTGCAACCCCCTCCCACCCTGCTCAGAGACCACTTTAAGATCGCCAGCCTTCCTTGGGCTCAACAATGTTCGCTTCTGACTGGGGCCCGGGGAGCTGGTGATGGATGGTCTTTGCAATCCCAGTCTGGAACCTGGTCCGTGGGCCCCGAGAGTCTCATCAGGGTGAAGCTCAGGATCCCTGCCTGTTGGCGGGTGGAGAAGCTGCCTTGCCAAGTCCGAGCTTCCACGGCGGGGGGTGTGGGGACCCTAGTGGGGGGGGCGTGGCTCCACATCAGGTCCCAGCCCTCCCCGCCGTGTGACTCCGCCTGAGCGGGTTTAACCTCGGGATCCCAGCTGCCTCATCCACCACAGGGATACAAGACAGCCAGCTCCGCCTGCCTCGTGGCTTGTTGTCAGATACACAATGAGATGATGTATGTGAAAGTGGCCGTGTTTAAACACTGTAAAAACTTATTCAGACGGATGGGGAAGGGGGACGTTACTTTCACAAAATTGACTTTAGTCCCTTGTGCTCACCACCCCCGCCCCCTAACCCTGCCTCTCCTGGGACCCTCAGGACAGGAGGCCTGAAGGATGATGGAGGGGACATTCTTTCAAGCTGTCAGGGCTGGAAAATCGCAAGCTGCTGAGGGGAACACACAGATTGCCGTGGGCTCCGTAGAGACGGAGCCCCGTTCTCCCAGCCCCGGGAGGGCAGCGCCTACCTTCTTTCCTTCTCCATATATAAGGGGAAACTTCAAGTCATCATCCTCAATGGTTTTGTATGCCCTGTAGGGGGATAAACAACATTAAAAAAAAAAGGCTTGCACTCAGTCCGTGACCTGCTGCCCCGCCAGGCACTCCGCTTTCCCCGAGACGCGATCCGCCCAGCACACTGCCAGTCTCTTCCTGTACAAAGACTTATTCTCCCTACAGAATTGTGCGTGTGCATGTACATATTTTAACAAGCCAGAAAATACCAAGTCTTGATATGCTTGAAGAGAGAGGAAATGAGCTGGCATATTCACATTTAGTGAGAAGGGGAGAGAGCTTTCTGTCCTGAGCGTTTCTGCAGTGCCCGTGTCGAAAGCCAGCAGCCAGGTCTCACCTCCCGGGCTTGTTTACGCCAAAGCAGCCCCACGCTGGGATGGCTGGAGAAGGAATATGTAGGGCCCACTTGACCTCAGTATGATATTCAAGGTTGGCAGAAAATCCTTTGTTTCATGACAACTGTTAAATGGCTATTCGACACACAGAAAGAAAATCCAGTTTATGCGTCAGTGGTTTATTCCAGACATGGTTGTCCAGATGCCAGTGCATACACAGCAGAGGCTGGCCAGGCTACGGCGAGAGAGCAGGTGGAGGCCACGTCGTGCAAGTTTACTCACAAGGCAGTTTAAAAATATAAATAAATAAACCAAGCAAACAACATGGGACCCAGTTACTAGCAGTATCACCCTGGGCGAGCAGCTCTGCCTTTTTGGGTCTCTGTTTCCTCATCTGTGAAGTGAAGATAACCACACAGGATGCAAAGAGCTTAGCACAGTAAGTACTCACGTAGTGGTAGCTATCATACTCAGTAGGTAAGTAATACTTGGCACATCTTTCTGCAAAATGGGGAAAGCATTGCCCATTCACTTCCTCAGAGACGTAGTAGGAAGACAAGTAAAAGATGGGGAAGGCTCTGCTAGATGAGAGGCTAGAAGCAAGATGCTTTCTAAAACAATGCCTCCTGTGCTCACTTTGGCAGCATATACACTAAAATAATGTCTCCTGAATGCATGGGAAAAACCTCATCTGTGACCTAGCCTCCTGGTTCTGGATCTATCTAGGCAGCCTGGGAGTGAATCTGACATCAAATTCATGGAGGTGATTCATATACAGAAGAATGCAACCCAATCGAAAAAGGGTTCGACTCCAAAGCTAAAGCAGGCACGTCCTTATTTCCCGGGAAGTTATTTGGTTAAGTGGTTCTTTCCTGGTGCACAGAGGAACAGTGAGGTGTTGGCACCGGCAGTGCCCAGTTGAGCACTGCTTTCTGTGCAGCCCAGGGGGAGTGGATAAGCCTCTCTGGACCTCCGGAGGATCCTCGTTAATCAGAGAGGGCAAACAGTGGGGGTCGCTCGTGGCCTTGCTGTGAGGATTAAAAAGGGCTTAGGAAGTAATTAGCACCGTGCCTGGCACATGCCAAAGGCTTGATAAAAGCTAGTTGCTGCTGCTACTGTCAAGCAAGCCCATTCCATTCAAATGCTATGAATGGAATTTTCAAAAAAGGAACCGTACTATTTCCCTCCCTCAATCTACCAAATTAACACAGAGTGGAAATAGCTACTTCGATGTTTCTGTACTCACATGAACTATTTCAAACACTGTGGTGCACGAGTCACTCGCGGGACAAACGGAGCTATTATTAGAACTCACTCAGCTTGGTGACTGAATGAGTTTGTAGACCAGCAGGTCTCAGTCTTGGCTGCACAGGGGATCACCAGGGATGGCTTTCAAAATCCTGATGCTCAGGTCACCCCCCAGAGCAATCGAATCTGAACCTCTGGGGTTGGGACCCAGGCACCAGGAAATTTTTTAAAAGCTTCCCTGGTGATCCTAATGGGCAGCCATGCTTGAGAACCACTGTCGTAGACCAAGGTCATTACTGACATTCACAATCGGTTGAGCAATAAGCCCCTCATCGGTTTGACCCTAAAGATAACAGACTACAGGCCTGAAAGGAGAGGGGGGTAATGGCCTGAGAAAGGCTGTGAAATGCGCATAAACAGGGCTCGGAAGGAACAGAGGAGAGTTAGAAGACAGGTTCAGACCGGGAGAGGACACGGTTCAGACCGGGAGAGGACACGGAGGGGACTGTCCCCGGGGAGGGGCTGGGGCCAGGAGATCCAGGCACAGGAGTCTGGAATCACGCAGGAGGCAGATGGCTGCAGCTCTAGAATCACTGGCTGGAAATTACTTAGGGCTCAGCGGAGACAGGCTAAGAGCACTCTTAACAAGCCGTCCTCTGTTCCACCACCAGCCCGGGGGACCCAGCTCTCTCAGGGTGGAGAACTGCAGGAGAGTGAAGTCTGTCCCCACAGCTCTGAATGGCAGACGCCCACCTTGGAGTTGTCACGCCCAGCAGCAAGACCACTGCAAATTCCAATATTCTATTTTAGCCTCTGGTTCTGCATTTTTGAGAACAACGCAAAAATAAAAATTGAAAAGACAACTCTGGAAAAGGAAGGTTTATTTGGTTCCACATGAGCCCTCTCCACCCACCGCAACAAGTGACCAGCATGAATAACTATAAACAGAGAAGGAACCGCACACCCCCCTCCTCGGGCTTTTGGAGCCCTGAGCACAGTTCAGCACGTGAAGGTAGGTGGACATCCCTCCACAGTTTCAGTCTTGAATAAAGAATAAAACACTCAAGAGTTAAAACTGGCAAGGTGATTAGACTGTGCAAATTAATGACAGCTAGTAACAGTGCCAGCAAGCTGCGACTTACTGATCCCCTTCTACAGGCCAGACGCTGGGCTGGCTGTTCGTGTACTGTGTCTAAAATCTCTTAGGGACCCTGCAACGTCCTGTCCTACACAGCAGGAGACTGAGGCTCAGAGAGGTTAAGTTACTCTCCCAAGATCGTATCCCATGTGAGTGGCCCTAAAGCTAAACCCCAAATGTCCCAGAAAACACACCAAAGAAATGTGACGTCAGGACTTAGGTCTAGGGGTTTGTCATTCTAATTAAAGAGTCTGAAATGAGACCCTTCCTGTCCACCTCTCAGTGGGTGAAAAGCAGGCCTCTGATGACGGGGCACTTGGCAGAAGAGGAAGGGGCAGGGCAGAAGGTGACCGTGAGCAGCTGTCCTGCAACACAGTCCACAGGCGAGCACAGAGGAAAGTCGGGGAAGCAGCAGTCCATGCTCCCGCCCTGCCAGCCCGTCCCGGGTCCTCCCTGCCGGGGCCCGGAGGCCCACAGAGCCCTGTCCACAGACAGCAGGCCTCATGCTTTAAGGGGCCTCCACAGCTTCTGCTCCTCATATGACATTATAATGTATGTCTAGGCTGCGGGCTTCTAATGTCCGCTTCCAACGCATCCTGAGTGTCCATTCTCCCCAGCTGGGGGAGGTGAGAGGCTAGGCAGAGAGGCTGCAGCTAGAGAGCTCTAGACACAGAGGGCCCTGGGACCCAAGATTAATAGAAAATGTCTATTCCTCCACAACAGATCCTATGTCTAAAATCCTGATTAATTTTTTAAAAACCTCCCCAAACAGATTACTCACGAGTTTTACAGCGACATAACTGACCAGACACCGCATTCAAATAATTACTCGTTACAAGAAAGTAAAGCTGAAAAGCTCAGGAAAGAGTTTTAGACTAACTCTTATTTGGAGTCGATTCCTTTATGAATATTTAGGAGGCCAACTGACGAAAGGATGAGATGTGAAAGAAGAAACGCAAGGCTTAAAAGGGCTAAAATAAATTAAAGGGCTTTCTCTAATTCCAGGCAGCATCCACAGCAGTTCCCATTAAACATTTTTTAAAGCACGTGTCATAGTTCCCCTTGCAGTGTTGATTCTGCAAAGCTGAAAAAACAAGGCCCCACTGCTCTGGGCCTCCTAGGAGATGCTGCGCCCTGGACGAGACCTCAAGGCCACCAAGTCAGCTGTGCCCCAACTCCCTCCTGCAACACCCCTCCTGCTGGTCCTGACCGCTGTCATCGGATGGGCTGCTGGAGACAGTCGTCGTCCTGGGAGCTTACAGGACCGACTTTATGGTACCCTGGGGCTGTCTTCCGGAAAAATATGAAATAAATCTAGTCTCTCTTCTTTTGAGAGCTCTGCAGACATTTGTTTCCTTTTTCTTTTCTCCAAGTTTCCTCTTTCCCAGTTTCGTCAACTGTTCTTCACAGGACCTGAGGCATCATCCCTAATCACTCAAGTCACCATCCATTCAGCCAATATTTATTAACTGAGCACCAAATGCTGTGGGAGGGGCCCTCTGGGAGCCTCCTCATTTGTCAGCATCCTCAACGAATGGCACTCAGAACTGAAAACACTTAAAATGTGGTCCACAAAAGAATGAAATGATTACTTCTTTGGCTTGGACCCTGCTCTCTTTAAAATGACTGCAGCTCGTGTTGGCGTTATGCGCAATACACGTGTCTGTGTGGTTTAGGGTCCTAGATTGAAACAATGCGTGAAAACAAACAAAAACTCCAACCAAACAAAAGCCCAGTCAGCCCACAAGAAAAAAATCCTGAGAAGATTTCCTGACTCATCGTCTTCCTCCAGCTGACACTTAGACAATGAAGATTTTACTCTGAATGGAAAACTCCACTGCCTTTATTAATTTCATCCTGCAAGTTTCAGTCCATTTTTCCAACCCACCAAGGGATGTCTGAATTCGTATCTTTTCATCCAAAAAAATCACCTGTCCTTCTACGCTATGTCACGTTAAACTTGATAAGCAACTCTTATCTGGGTCATTGAAAAAAAAAATGCTAAGCAGAACCAAGCCATTAGAGACCTTCCTCCAGGCCAGGCTAATCAGACAAGTACCAACATTTCTTGAAGGCAAGTGGATGAAGGGAAGTGCAATTCAAAAAACTGCTCTTGTCTGGTGGAAAGGCACAGAAGACAGCATTCAAGACTAGAGGGGAGACAATGAGATATTCATGTTTTAATTAGTGGGTGGCGGGTTGGGGGGAGATTCAGGATTTAAAAAACCTGAAAACACTGATCCAGAGAGACACTGTCCTCATGAATTTAGACCCTTTGGGTGCAGCTCTCAAGCCAT